GAAGAGAATACCGACCAGCATGTTTCATTACAAGCAGGGAACATGTATAAGAAGGCAGAAACCCAAGTATTGCCTTATATATAAAACTGTATAAATGAGAGTTCCTCCGACTTACCAAAGACTTACCAAAGTATCTAATATATTGTCTGTTATGAATGTATTTTCTGAGTAAATACTGGGTGGATTAAAAAAAACACTTTAAGAATAATAGTAAAGCCGTGATTCTCATCAAACTCAAAATCTTGGTAACTATTTGTTAAATACCAAGATGTTTGCATTTTTGGTAGTCTCAGTTCTATTCACCAGCTATGTTTGACCAGTGTTTGATTATTTTTTTCTAACTTCTTTCCGTTCAAGCTAAACTCAAGTTTAGTTCAGGCATCATCAGTCTTGGGCTGCACATTGTTAGCTTTGTAAACAACCACAGAAAAACTTAATTTTCCAACACAAAGCCCTATTAAGATAGAAAGTGATTCACTCAGTGGGGGTTGCTTTGTAGCTGACAGTTGGTAACTAGTGCACAATCATTTAGGTAGATAACTCTCTAATGGATTTATTTCTCAGTCACATGCAAGTCGGTGGTTTTCCTACCGATAGCTGCTTCAGTCATTTGCCTCACTTCGTGTTGCTAACGAATACTTTACCCGGTGATGGTAAGTGAATGTTTGGGTTTCTAGACCACTGCTAGTTGGTTCTGTGGAGGATGGACACCCTTTAAGAAAAAACATCCTCAAGCTTGATCAGCTGATTTACAGTAGGTGTAGAACAACTAAGCCAAATATGTGAGTGTAGTTAAACTTCATCCAGGCATGTTGAGTGGCACTGATGTCAGGTTGGTTTGGATCCTTCAGAACAGCGACTGAGAGAGGAACAGCTCATTTTGTTGCTCACAGTGTTGCTTGTTGTCGAGTACTCACAGAGTGTTCTTGTGTTTGGTCATGACCCTGGAAGTGCTCTGCGTTCATACGTGTGCTGAGATTACCTCACTGTCCTTTTGCCCCAGGTATTTTCTGTCTGCATGGATCCATTCAGTCATAATATCATTGTCAACCAATAAGAAACACACAATTGGTCCCAAAAAATCCACACAACTTGAATCATAACACCATTGTGATGGATGGAGACTCAGGGAAGATTTTGGTTGTTTGATCCAAAAATATCACTGATGGAAGAAAAGCATGTTGTTCTCTCTGCTGTTTTCCTGGATGAATGTGAACTTTAATTTGCTGTTTAGAGTCTCTCATCATGCAACCTGTGCATGAGTTTGCATGTGTTTATGTCGTACCATCTACCATGGCTTTAAGTTTCCAATTCCCTGACACCTGTATGATCCTCCCAACAGCAAAATATTTAAAACAAATAAACAAGCTCACATCTATACCTACAGGCTTGTTGATATAAAACATTTTCCTTAGTTGAAACTTCATGTCAGTCCTCACAGCAGTCTGTCCAGCCCGAATCTAGACTAACAACCAGGTCTCTTTGAATGGTGCCGTGAAAAAAACCCTGTTGAAATGTTCTGTTGTAAGTTAGAAAATACACTCACTGTAAGAATCCAGAAAGAATAAATATGTATATGTATACTACAAGCGTCAATCACTATTGACCTTCCAGTCTTACACGACCCATAATTTTACCTGCTGAGGCACAGCAGCCTCCATGTGCCTCTTCCTTTTTTTTTTAAACATTTCCACATGTTGTCCTTGTCTAAGACCATATATGAAAATATCATGTCCATATACTCGATCTTTTTTAAGAAAATGTCCTGCAACTTTCAATACTTTCTAAACACATTTACATGTACTTTTCATTAAGAGTTCATAAATACTTTTATCATTAGAAATAAAATGTCTCTAACTTGATGATGACAAAATTCTGACATGTTTGCTTCAAACATCTCAGGCCAGTTTCTTGTCAACAGAAGTAAATATAAGAAATAAGGAGATAAAATTCTCAGAGTTGAGACGTTAATTTAAAGATTGAGGCACTTCTCTGATATTCATATTTCATCTATAAGCCAAACATGGGTTTTTTTCTCACTGTTATCTTAAAAGCTGATTGTTCCACAGCAGAAAAGATCAGTGCAGCAAGAGGAAAACAAATAATATTTAAAAATGTTAAATTCTGACGGGTCAGCATTGTGGTCAAGATTGAACCCTAGAAGGCGATGTGAAATCAGGCAGACTGTCAAAACCTTCACAGTGTGGAGACTGTCAAGGTCTTAGGTTGTTCCTGTCAATAATAGAGAAAGAATACCACAACAGCTTTGACCTATCTGAAAAAAATTACATAGCCCTGATTATTCCACCCTGTCGGCCAAAGAGTACTGGGATAGTAGTAAGTTTCTATTCAGTTTCAGATTCACCCTGTTTTGATATCTGATGAACTCTACAAACTGAGCAGAACAATGAAAACTGTTTCATTGTTTTGTCTATTCTCAAAAAAAGTCTCAAGAAAAGATAAGTACACTGGCTACTTTTACTTGTCTTGTTTACAGGCTGGTTCTTAAAAATCTTAAACACACATTTACTGATAAAAGACATTGAACAGTATCAAACTGTCCTTTCAGAGTTTGTATGGATTCTGCCAGCACAAACATTTCAGAACTGAATGCTACTATTTTTGACCCCTCGACACATTTAGATCACACAGTGTAACGGCACTGTTAAGAGTGTGCTATTTTTGGAGCGGGCGAGAAGATTGGACAAAATGTGACAAAATGACAGCTGTTTGCCAACTAACAAAAAACAAAATGCTTGGTAGCTGACAGGAAAAAGGACAGATGTGAGATTTGCGAGGAAAACTATACTTTCAGTCTTGCTTATCAAACTTAGGACAATACGGTGACATTAGCAATCAGGATAATTTGTAAAATTTACCAAATAATTGCATTTTACCTTGTTATTCTGAACCATTACCTATGGGTTAAGGAAGTTGTGTAAAAATTATAGTTTTCCATGTAGGTCTGTGAAAAACAGAGTAAAGCCTTACTGCTTCCATAGAAGAGGATAGATAACTGTAGGCTGCTGTAGGAGGCCACAGTCTTTACAGGGATTGATGTACAAGCAGATTCACCAGAAGATCAGACCATTTAATCCTCATTCTGAACCTAAAAGCCACATATCAGACTCTACAGGCCTCAGTCAGCATACTGAATACTAAAGCTGACCACACAATTAGAAAAAGACTGAACAACTATGGCTTGTTTGAAAGGGGTGCCAAATATCTCTCTTCAAGTGGAGATGTTTGGCCATAAGCCTTAGCACTACTTCAGCCGAAAACTCAACACAGCATATCAGGATAAACACCTCGTGTCGACACCTCGGGTGATGATTTGGGCTCGCTTTCTAGCCACAGGACCTGGGGACCTTGCAGTTAAGTTGACCATGCACTCCAAACTCCAGTGTTCTAGAGTCAAATGTGAGATCATCTGTCTGATAGCTAAATGCTTGGCCCAAATTGGCTCAAGCAACACAACAATGGTCCCAAGCACAGCAGCAAATTTATAACAGAATGGCCGAAAAAATAAAAGTTGTCCCTGTGGCCCAGTCAAAGTCCAGACCCGGCGGAAATAT